GCCAGCCCCAGGGGGGCCCTGGGGTGGTCGGCTCCTGGGCCCCCCAGGGGAAGAGGCTGGCCCTGTGGCTACATACCGGGTCGCAGGGGCGGCCGGGCCCCCTGGTGGGCCGGGCCCGGTCGCAGTCGCGACCCCTGCAACCCTGGTATGTACGCCAGTGCGCACACCCCTAAGGCCGGCCCTGACTCCATATTGAAACTGCAGATTAATCATATTGCCAGCTGCAAAGGTAATAAGGTGTCTGTCATTATCCTGCTCCTTTAACCCCGTGCACACTGTGTGCTGAGAGCAACATTTACTAGTAAGCTAAAGTTATCATAGCAGGAGCACTACTGAAGATGAGTTCGGGATGGGAGAAGTAAGAGAGGGCTAGAAAGCTAGAGTTAGACACAGAGAGCTGGAACATTATACAGAGACATGTATCTCTGTATTGCACGTCTGTGTAATCCATTACAGTGATCCTGGTTGCATTGGATAATTGTTATCTTTTTAATGTGCCCAGTTGTATCTCTGTATTTTACACCGCTCTCTGCATGTTGTATGGGTATCTGTAATCTACCCAGGGTGGTGTCATTTATAGATGTATTTTTATAAATATTAGCAATGTTGTTACCTCTGGTATATATGCAATTGTAATGTAACAGCCGGGAGATGAGAACTTTCATTTGACAGCAAAATTAAACAAACAGTTACAAGGTATTATAATGTCACCTTGTTTAATAAATTGGAGATTCCTTGTGGTTTAAAACAGCAGGATAGAAACAGAGAAACATTTTAGAGAAACGATGGAGAACAAAAGGTCATGCTCCATATTTAAAACAGAAATAATGAAATTAGGTTAAAGGGACGCGCCAAGGAGCAAATCCACTACTTCTTAAAGTAGTTTTCGTATATAGACCTAGCCCCTGCACTATTACAAACATAAGCAATGCTATTTGTGAGCACTGGCAATGCTTGTATTTGTTACTAACAGTTATAAGTTTTACATTTTGAGTTGTAATGCTTCTCTTACAGTTCTTCTCAATGCGAAGCATGCGACTGCAGGACATTCCCAGCAAGTGCTTCTCCCTCCGAAGCATTGTATTGGCCTAAGGTAATCCAGATGAAGGATCTAGGGAGGAGCGGCTGGATATCCATTAATTATACTGACATTTAGTTTTTTGTTTTTTTTGTCTGCTAAATATAGCTACGCACAAATACACCAAGTGCCACCACTTAGGTCATCTGTCATTAATAGAGACATTAAACACTAAAAGTACTGCCAGACAAAAACTGATTAAAGGGACACTATAGTCACCAGAACAATTACAGCTTATTGTATTGATTCTGGTGAGTATAATCATTCCCTTCAGGCTTTTTTCAGAGAAAATGCAGTGTTTACATTACAGCCTAGGGATACCTCCACTGGCCACTCCTTAGATGGCTACTACAGGTGCTTCCTGGGGCACTGCTGCACAGTATGACAGTATCAGCATGGAGACACTGAACTTCCTCATAGAGATGCATTGATTCAATACATCTCTGCGTTTGGATCTGTCCCTGATCATCCTCGTTGGCAGTCTCAGCCAATCCTATGGGAAAGCATTGTGATTGGCTCAGAACAACACTTCTGATGATGTCAGCCAAGCAGGCAGATCAGGGGCAGAGCCAGCAGCTGCAGACTTGAACAAAAGTAAGATTTTACTATATTTAAAGGGAAACTATAGTGCCAGGAAAACAAACTTGTTTTCCTGACACAATAGCTCCCTTCTGTTAATAACCCCTTCAGTCACTTACCTGGGACCAGCGCCCTTGGCGCTGGCTCAGCTCCACACACGCTCCTTCCCCTGTCTGGCGGGGGAGACCTAATGCGCATGTGCGGCAATGCTTTCCTATGGGGATTCTGGAGACGAGCGACGTCCTAATGCAGAGCGTGGGAATGTCAAACGTCATTTAAAACACTTTTCATGCTCTAAGAACATGAAAGCACCATCTAGCAGCTGTCTGAGAGACAGCAACTAGAGGTTGAATTAGCCATGTAATCAAAAACACTGCGGTTTCCCGAAAACCGCAGTGTTTTGACTAACAGGGCTAAGGGGAGAGGGGAAATGCACCCAGACCACTCCAATGGGCAGAAGTGGTCTGGGTGCCTACAGTGTCCCTTCAAGGGGATATGGGATGTCCAGAGGTGCTAGATGGTGGTTTTAACACTATAGGGTCAGGAATACATGTTCATGTTCCTGATCCTATAGTGTTTCTTTAAGGTTTAATATTAATAGTAGATTTGCATGGTCCACCCGTGTTTATACATGACTCACATCAGCCTGAGCTAGAATGGACAACTCAGCTACACATACTGTTACCCAGACTGCATGCACACACTACTCCATTATACAGGGAGTGCAGAATTATTAGGCAAATGAGTATTTTGACCACATCATCCTCTTTATGCATGTTGTCTTACTCCAAGCTGTATAGGCTCGAAAGCCTACTACCAATTAAGCATATTAGGTGATGTGCATCTCTGTAATGAGAAGGGGTGTGGTCTAATGACATCAACACCCTATATCAGGTGTGTATAATTATTAGGCAACTTCCTTTCCTTTGGCAAAATGGGTCAAAAGAAGGACTTGACAGGCTCAGAAAAGTCAAAAATAGTGAGATATCTTGCAGAGGGATGCAGCACTCTTAAAATTGCAAAGCTTCTGAAGCGTGATCATCGAACAATCAAGCGTTTCATTCAAAATAGTCAACAGGGTCGCAAGAAGCGTGTGGAAAAACCAAGGCGCAAAATAACTGCCCATGAACTGAGAAAAGTCAAGCGTGCAGCTGCCACGATGCCACTTGCCACCAGTTTGGCCATATTTCAGAGCTGCAACATCACTGGAGTGCCCAAAAGCACAAGGTGTGCAATACTCAGAGACATGGCCAAGGTAAGAAAGGCTGAAAGACGACCACCACTGAACAAGACACACAAGCTGAAACGTCAAGACTGGGCCAAGAAATATCTCAAGACTGATTTTTCTAAGGTTTTATGGACTGATGAAATGAGAGTGAGTCTTGATGGGCCAGATGGATGGGCCCGTGGCTGGATTGGTAAAGGGCAGAGAGCTCCAGTCCGACTCAGACGCCAGCAAGGTGGAGGTGGAGTACTGGTTTGGGCTGGTATCATCAAAGATGAGCTTGTGGGGCCTTTTCGGGTTGAGGATGGAGTCAAGCTCAACTCCCAGTCCTACTGCCAGTTCCTGGAAGACACCTTCTTCAAGCAGTGGTACAGGAAGAAGTCTGCATCCTTCAAGAAAAACATGATTTTCATGCAGGACAATGCTCCATCACACGCGTCCAAGTACTCCACAGCGTGGCTGGCAAGAAAGGGTATAAAAGAAGAAAATCTAATGACATGGCCTCCTTGTTCACCTGATCTGAACCCCATTGAGAACCTGTGGTCCATCATCAAATGTGAGATTTACAAGGAGGGAAAACAGTACACCTCTCTGAACAGTGTCTGGGAGGCTGTGGTTGCTGCTGCACGCAATGTTGATGGTGAACAGATCAAAACACTGACAGAATCCATGGATGGCAGGCTTTTGAGTGTCCTTGCAAAGAAAGGTGGCTATATTGGTCACTGATTTGTTTTTGTTTTGTTTTTGAATGTCAGAAATGTATATTTGTGAATGTTGAGATGTTATATTGGTTTCACTGTTAATAATAAATAATTGAAATGGGTATATATTTGTTTTTTGTTAAGTTGCCTAATAATTATGCACAGCAATAGTCACCTGCACACACAGATATCCCCCTAACATAGCTATAACTAAAAACAAACTAAAAACTACTTCCAAAAATATTCAGCTTTGATATTAATGAGTTTTTGGGTTCATTGAGAACATGGTTGTTGTTCAATAATAAAATTAATCCTCAAAAATACAACTTGCCTAATAATTCTGCACTCCCTGTATATACAGCTCCCCACAATGTTACAACAACCACACGTTTCTACATATACTGCTACCCACAGTCCACAAACACACATTGCTACTACCGACCATGTTACACACAATGCTAAACACACACTACTATACATGCTGCTACACACACTGTTATAAACATACTCTGCACTCGACACAAACACTGACACACATGTAAACAGACATGCATACACATAT